TTTTATATCTGGTTTAAGTTAAAGGAATGATTTATATCGGGGGCCATCCCAAAAAAGTACAATATTAGAACAACCCCCCCCCCCCCACACATTTTTTAAAAGTTAACCACCTTTGTTTTTTCATAATATTGCTATACAAACATATTTCGCTTATTTTTGTTAGTTTTCATACGATTGAGAGTCTTAAGATTTAATGACTAAATGGCAACAAAATTGAAATTCAAAAACATTAAAGCATTTGATAAAAATTTTGTGTGGACATCCTTAATGGACAACCCCTAATGATAAAAGTAAACTTTGTATCAAAGACTTCTAGTTAAAGATAATAAAGCCCAATGAGTTTCAGTTACCCGTTTAAAAAAATATTGAAATCAAATTTGAAGCCTCAATTGGTCTATTGTTTAATTTGTATTAATTGTTTGCTGCACAGAGGAAATCTCATCACTCGTGAGGGTGTTGATTCAGTTCAACTATGACCAGAAAGCTATGAGGCTACAAGAGTTTTTCAATGAGATCCTGACAAGCCTTGACACTGCGGTCAGTCAGATATGGATCTACAACCAGAGTTCAGGGTCAAATCTGGTGAGTCTATGGATCAATCACATGCAAGGTCATTTTCTATGGTTTGAGTTGAACACTTTATATCCACATAACACCCGTGTATTTAGTGTCAGTCGATTTTAATCTTTATTATATGCACAGGACGCAGATCGACATCTTTATTATATGCACAGGACGCAGATCGACATCTTTATTATATGCACAGGACGCAGATCGACATCTTTATTATATGCACAGGACGCAGATCGACATCTTTAAAACATAATAGCAAGAAGAATTCTTGAATACTCTCCCATTTGCTGTGCACACATTCTAATTCTAACATTTATTTCCTTCCTAAATGGATCAAAACAAAATTTTAAAATGAAAGAAATAGTGGAACAAGATAAATAGCCTTGAAGATTGATTTTAATCAAATATTGATTTTAGTTTACTTTTACGAGGATCAATCTAGTAAAAAATGGACACAAAGGATGAATCAGATATCAGTTTAAATGTAATTAGAGATAACTCCTGGGATAGTTATGCCAGCTGTAGCAATACATGGTACCGGTATTAAAATAAGTAGTGAAGTGAAATAAAAATCATTGATCTTTACTTAAGGTTTGAGTGTATCGTCTTATAACCTTATGTTTCACTGTGCAGGGGAAAATTCTCCTGTGGATGCAACCATGGGCTTTTTACTATCTGTGCTATGTGGACATTAAGTGTTGAGCCTAGCAGTGTCATCAGGATATGGCTATAATATAAAAATAACTTTCTTTTCTGGATTAAGTTACATACTGGTATATAAAATTATTATTACAGGTACTTAGGTTTAGTTAATTAACCCTCTTGAGATGGCCAATGGCGAAAAAGATGAAAGGCTGATCCATCAGCCTAATAATAAAAGCTTCAAGAGTACCTGGCTTGTCTTTGTACGAGCTAATCAGATTGCTGCTCACATTTCTTGCTCATCTCATCAAAAGGAATAAGCACCCCAGTCAAATATTTTATACAGTTTTTGTACCGTACATTGAATCTCATTCAAATGTTTGTTAGAACTTATTTAGGATTCAAATTCAACAATAACAATTTTTCAAATAAGACATGTTTATTCAAGTCCATGTGTAAAAAAAAATATCTTCTTTGCATACATTTTGAGGTTTCAGTTTGATTCATAAAGATCATATTTACTTTTTTTTAGTTCATTCAATTCCCTACATGAATATATGTAGTTTTTTTATTTTTGTTAAGTACCGTAGGTAGTTAGTTTATTTTTTATTATGTTTTTGCAAAGTTAGTGCAGGGCTTGTGAAAAGGCTCTGTCTTCTTGGCACTTGTCTAGCTAGTTTGATCATATTGTATACAACAGGGATTCTTAACCGGGGTGCCCGCACTGTCAGAGGTGCTAGAAAATCAGATTTATTTGAATTTTTATCATTGTTTTTATGAATGGGGTTGCAGAAAAAAAGTTTGGAAATCACAATGGGAATGCAGAGCTGCACAAGGGTTTCTAAAGTCTTGGTTTACACAGTAACACTGTGTGTGGTACATTGGCTAGTTAGTGTTGAGAGTAACTGATACTGATAATACTTTGTATTTTCTAGAGTCTCGGTCCCAACACCACAGCTAGTTGTGCAGCTCAGGCCATTCAGAGAGGTCTAAAATTGACAGGTGGTGAGGAGCCACTTGGTAAGGAATTGGTTTCTTATGATATCGCTCCTTATCTCTTAACTTTATAATATATATTTAATTTAGTATAAAACACAAAAAGAAGATATGTTATCTCTGTAGTAATATGATGATTATCCTCTTGAATAACTGAATATATCAACCATAAAAGATCAATTTATTTCAATGTTCAGATCCAGTCTTGCTGATTCCCCCAACCATAAACAAAGACACAAGATGGAAGCTGCATATTGCTAGTAATCAGGACAGATGACCCTCTATCTATGGTTTAGTCACTTCATGCCCTGCTACTAATAAACAATTCTCTTAATATTCAATAAATCATGAAAATTTTCATTTACTTGTGTTGTCAATGTTTATTTAACCTTAAAACTTCCAAGCACATATCTCTAGTGTCATGCCATTTTTAGAATTTTGATATGCTTGTCAAGAATGACAAATTCCAACATTAAATGAATTCAGAGACCCTTGCAAATACAAATATTTTTTCTGAAAAAACAGTTGACAAGATTTCTTATGGTACCCGGTACTGTATTAAATAAATTTGTTTTAATATTATGTACTGGTATGTTGATATTCATCTTTACAGAGTGAGTAAAACTTTACTTCTTAACTTCTGCGTTAAACCCACCCTAATGCTCCATAAATTGTTCAAATTCTTTTATTTCAATTTCTTGAGATAATAGAAAGCAAGATTCTTTCAGAAAATTACAAGTTACAGGTACTATACTTGTTTTGAAAATTTTTAATTTTAGTGAATTTCATTCACTTACCACCTCCAAATTGCTATCATTGCCACACAAAAAAGAAATGGTGATAACACAAAATGAGTTAAAAAAATCCTTTTCCATTGAAGTTATTAAATCCATTGTTTATTAATATTTAATACTCTTGACATCCTCAAATCTCTTATGGTTAGATGTTTGGGATGAATGTTTGTCTATTCTGTTTGATTTTCTCCCTTTCTCAAAAATGAATTTGTATGTAGCCTAAACTACTAAGCTTAGGGCTAAAATTGTCAATATCTAAGTATTATGCCCCTATAGTTAAAACTAATACTGGCATTACTAGCACATGGCACATCTCCAAAATCATTTTTTTCCATTTTAAATAATTCCAACAAAGAAAGTCTGTTGACTTGCAATCTAGAGAGGATCTAGCCAGTATCAGACATAATGGCAGTAAAAATAATTGAGCAAATTTCACACCCCCTTAATGAACTTAATCACAAAACAAGCCCTGATAGAAAAGAAGCGTGTTAAGACACAGATAGAAATATGAAACAAACTCATTTATATAGAGAAATCATTTGCATTTTTAATGACCAATTTGCCATCTGCCAATTATATCGGCATTGACACAACAGAAAGGGGTATAACACTCAGTAGATTATTGGCCTTTAAGACAGTTATAAGGTTAAAATATGTACAATTTGACATGTAAACCTTGAGAAAGTTGTACATTATTTTGATGATGTAACTAATGAAGTACTGGTAATAACTTTAATATACCACTCTCTGAATAACACCACTAAACCTATTCTGTTTCTAATGTAATATTGCCTGTAGAAAAAAATTAAATTTTGTTAACAAATTGAAAAAAACAGCACCAGTAATTTATTTTTAAATGCAGAAATTAAAAAAAAAAAAAAGAAAGAAAACTTTTATTCAATCATCAAATTGAACAGACTTTGTTTTGAAGACATCAATATGAAACTTTTTTCCTTCTGCTGGGTCAGGCGCAAACCCAAAGCCTGATCCTTTCTTTGCTGTCAGTTTGAAATTCATGGCTTTGTTGTACTCCTCTTCCAACTTTCGGTTGAGATCTGCAGCTGCTGATGCAGATAGGGCAGCATTGCCAGATACAAGAGAATTACTTGAACTAGGTACCAAAGAGCCAAACAGGCCCTTCTTTTTGGTGGCACCTGCAGGTTCAGTGACATTGTTTTGTTGATTAGCAGCCTTCCTTCCGCCCATTAGTCTCAGAAATTTATTTTGCCTATCAGAATTGTCAAACAAACTGCCCTGCCACTGACCCTGAACCACATTATCTTGCTCAGGCTTTGCAGCAGGCTTTGCCTTAAGTTCGGGCTCAGCTTGTAAGTCTGTGACAGCTTTATTTGAAGAACTGCTTTTTTCATCCCCACAATCTATATCTTTACTCTTGCTCTTTTTGTGCTTTTTCCTTTTAGTTGGTGATTCTTGCTCAGTCTCAATTTGTGTGATGTCATCACCAATCTCTTTGTTGTGTTTTTTCCTCTTCTTAGGCTTATTACTGGTTTCTATATCATCAACCTTTGGATCATGTACAGGGTCAACCTCCTCAGCATGACCCCCCTTGACCCTTTTCTTCAATTTGGTTTCATCTGCTCCTTCAGTTACATCATCCGTACATTTCTTTGTCTTAGCAGCCTGAGCATCCATACCAACTGTTATTTTTTCACTATTTATTTTCTTGTGTTCTTTTGAAATAACTCCTCCTGCAGTTTCACCTTGTGCATCATCACTTTCTTTATCCAATCTCTTTTTCTTACTTTTTTTCTTCTTTGATTTCTTATCACCTGTGTCTGTAGCTTGCGCTTCTAAAGATTGATTCTCCGGTATCCCTACACCAAAATCCTCCTCCTCCTGTGTTTTATGTTTCTTTGACTTGTGACTCTTTTTACTTCCAGACCTGTCTGCTTCTTCTGTAGCTAATGTCTCTTTCTCTTCTATCTGTGACTGTTCATCTTCCGTCCCATATTTTTCCTTCTTACGCTTACTTTTCTTTCTTTTACTTGAATGTGAAATCTCTTCCTGTACCGGTATCATATTTTACAGTCTTGTAGTGCTTCTTATCCTGATAAATTAGAGGAGAAAAAAAAGGATTAAGTTAGAGCTAAAAGTTTTGGGAAATAATCCCCATTTAATATCATATAATGTTGGCCATTAAGGTTTTGATGAACCTTGATTTTTCACTTTGCATTGATCACACTCAAGCACAAATGATCTTTCTCATGTTGACATATTTTCTGTCCTGACAGATAAAATACAATGTGGACTTGTTACAGACTATTAATAAACAATTATCATTGTTAAGAACTTGAATGCATGGTGTGATAGCGTGTTGTTTTGAGATTATATGAGTTGTTTTATCTATTATTCTTAGTATCTTGTGACGTAGTGAGGGAAATGGGATATGACGTAGAATAGTTAGTGTGTTGGGGTTGTTGTGAGAAATGGCAGTTGAATCTGTAACTTATTTATGTAATAGAGATATTTAATATGACAATAATGGTTGGTGAAGTATATATATAATTAAACCCCCTAGAAAACGAACCCAACGAACCTTTTTAGTACGACTAGGTTTGTAACAATCATACGGTACCGTTTTATAAAAAAATGTTACACACATTTTAGTAAGATTTTGTAAGTAAAAGAGAGTCTGGGACTGACAATTTGATCAGGGGGCAGAAATAAAGGGCGCCAAAGGCTGGCAAGCAAAAAAAAGGATGAGAGGTCAGAAAATTTTGATTAATTAAAGATCAGGGATGCATTTTGATGCACGCAACTTGATAAAGTTTTTCATCATTCTAAACTTAAACAGAGCAACAGAAGAGATGCTAGTGGAAATTTTTATGTTGTTTTATGATTTTTATTTAAACTACGGGTACCGTTTGTCATTATTGTGGCATTATTTTGTGCTATTTTTTTTGTTGTCTACAGTTCCTGTGTTGAACAATTAGTATGGTAAGTGAAATTTGTGGGAAAAAAAAAGTAAATTTATGCACAGCATCAAAAAGATATTTTTAATCCATTAGAGTCTATCTTTATTTTTGTTGCTGTGGATTGAAAAATACAGTCCCTCTCATAAATTAAAAAAGAAGAACTGCCAATTCCTTCTACTATGCTAGTAGATATAGGCCTATATTATATATATGTATGTATTATAGAGACAACTGGTGATTAGGCGTTCCTCTGACGTTGTCACCTTGTGTGGTCTCCTCCTTATTTACATAACCTTGTTATTAACTATTACTATTGGCTTGAACAGGAAGGGGGTAAGATTAAAAGTTAGATTTAGAAAGGGACATCAAAAATGTAAAAAAGCTGAATCTTTTGGCAGCCCTATTCATACATCAGTTTAAACAACCACACCTTTGACTTTGAGAGAGTGGCTCCTTTCAAATATCTAGGGGTAACTATAGATGAGCACAATGGAATAATGTTGGGGAGGTGAAAGAAAGGATAACAGCAGGCGCCTGTTCTTATATCACCACTATCATAAGACCAATACTAACCTACGCTAGTAAGACTTGGTCTCTTACAGGAAAAGCAGAGGACCTGGTCGACACATGGGAGAGGAAAAGCCTCAAGAAAATATGGCCCAGTGATAGAATTCAATGAAGTTTGGAGAATCTGTGCCATACAAACCAAGAGCTATAACTATATGACTATATCATTAATATCAATTGTACAAAGACCCACGCATAGTCAACAATAAAGAAAGGCAGACTGTGCTGGACAGGACATATTGAAAGGAAGGATTGTAGAGCAGCAAAACCTAGGGGCAGATGGCTCACCGGTAGACCAAGAGTGGGATGAATCAATGATGTGGAGAAGGACTTACACCAGTTGGGGGTCAGCCTGTGGAGGCGGGAAGCCATGGATCGATCAATCTCAATGGAAAGGAGGTGATGGAGCAGGCAGGGCCCAACATGGACTGTAGTGTCACTGATGATGATTATTCATACTTGATTCATAGTTATCCCCATTTACTAACTTTTAGAATTGTAAAAAAAGTAGTTACTTTTTTAAAAACTTCTTTTTGTAAGATTAAGACTATGTGTAGGTTATAATTATTATTTATAAGTCTAGTAAAGTGTGTTTCTACTGTATCTTCCTTACTAGATTTATATACGTCCTTTGGGTAAATTTGGAGAGATAGTATCACGGTCGTCATCTTGGTTACGAATTTATGTCCTAAATGTATCCCTAAATCTAACCTGAACCCTAAATCTATCCCTAAACCTAACTTGAACCCTAAATTTATCCATAACATAGGTACTTGGATATGAGGCTATTTTGACGAAATCGCGGCCCATAGGGTTTTGAGACACTTTTTTTGGGTGTGCTGGATGATAGGGTTCACTAAAAAATTATTTTTTCGCGCTAGAAATGTCGGATAAATGAGCGAATTACTGTTCTAGTTACGTTAATGAACGGGATTTAACGACATCCATTTTGTTTTCAGTAATATCAGTATGCCGGTACCGTAAATAAAGAAAAATGTGAGAAAGCAGCTAAATCTAATTTATCAATATTTTGAAAACTATTCGTTATCCCATTTTAAATCGACCTGGTGTACCTGTAAAATTGTATCAAAAATGACCATGTAAAATTTCAAGTCTCTAAGATGGCCACAACAATGTTATTTTTGGCCAGAACGGGTCTAAAACTTTTTTAAAAAAATGGCCGAAAACGAAAGTGACAAAACCGTAAACATTATTATTTATCCATTAGTTAACAGACAAGAAAGCCCAAGAAATTTTATAACGCTTAAAGCAATCAATATGGAAAGGTTTTATTGTAATATCTATACAATAATAGACATATTAACTCATATTTTATCAGATATTGCTCCATTTCAAATTAAATCATATTTTTTTTTGTAAAATTGCCTCTATTATATTTTAAAATAAATTACGTTTGGTCTTTATTTTTTAAAATAATTTTTTAATATTTTTTTTTTACATTAAAAAATAGGCTGTTTCTACAGGTCCGGCGCGCCGGACGTCTATCTCCCGCACTATGTGTCCAGCGACCAAGTCACATGACCGCCGTAACAAAGTGGCGAGAGATATCTTGTCGGTCAGCCTTGTCACGTGACTGCGAATAATTCAAAACTATTGTTAATTTTAAAATCTATTTCTCTACCAAGTAATGTACTGAGTATAGAGATATCTTGTCGGTCAGCCTTGTCACGTGACTGCGAATAATTCAAAACTATTGTTAATTTTAAAATCTATTTCTCTACCAAGTAATGTACTGAGTATCTTGAATGCAAATAATAGAAAAAAAAAAACTTAAGTGAAAGTGGCTTGTAAACATTTTTGTTTAGTTTGTTATTTGAGTTTGTGTACCAGTAATACATAAAATAAATTAGGGGCCAGTGTGGAGTAGGCGTAGGCAACCAATAAAAGTTAAAGTAAAAGATTTCATTTTAAATTATTTCAATTGCTACAAAATATGTAAAAACTTCTCATGAAACTACTGTTGCTGAGGAACATGTTAATATAAATATATACAAAATATTTTTAATTAAAATGGGTAGAAAAGAAAGACCCTCTCCCCGGTACAGATCCTCCAACCTTCCTATCGTCAAGCAACCACTCTACCACAAGACCACACAAGATGTACTAAACTTTACTTTGCTTCGAATTATAAAAACTACTAGTCGCCTGGCCATGTCCGGCGGTCACGTGACAAGCCGCCGGACGTATATCTTGCGCACTACATGTCCGGCGCGTCGGACGTGTAGACACTTCGTAAAAAATATTATTAAAATATTCTATTTAATTTTGTTTAATTTTTGAAGAAACAAAGATGATGAACACTTCTGGGAAGTTTCATATTATTTGTCCAATCTGCTATAAAGTTATGAGCCTTTTCGTAAAAAATTTTGAAAAGAGGTCACAAACCTCTATGATGAATGCTATGTCAAAAAAAGTGAGTTTTTATTCACGAAAACAATCATAACTTTTTAACCAAAAGTGCTGCATGAAAAATGAAATCTACCACTTTAGCGTCGGCCAAGAAAACATCAATTTGTTCCGGTTTGAAGGGCTTTTTAAACAATTTTCTTAAGGTTTCGCTTCCATATTTAACACAATACATTTTAATTATTATTACTACTGTACAAAGTTCCTGATATGGCAGGAAAAGAGGAGAGACTACAATAGTGCCGATGCACGAAGTGTTTGATATTTATCAGATACGAAACTAAAAAGGGCGTTTGGCACAAGCCTCGAACTGTTCCTTTCATATTTACATTGAATTAATGTTCCGCAACCGTTTTCGAGAAATGTTATTTTCAAAAACTTTATTGTCGCCTTGGGGGAGAACTATGCCAATGTCATTTTCACACTCACACATTACATTGTTTGAATTCTTCTATTTTATTTTATTTTTTAAAAATTAAATTGTTTTACATTTTCAATTTTTTTAAAAAATTGTCTTGTGTTATTTGTTTTACTATGTATGTGCTGGAATGAATACATTCAACATCGTAAAAACAAGATACAAATAATTGTTTAAATAGCCCTTCAAACCGGAACAAGTGGATTTTTTCTTGGCCGACGCTCAAGTGGTAGATTACCAATGAAAACATTTAAAAAGTGCTATCTTACAGATGTGTTCATTTCTTAATTCATTCAATTTGAAAATTTTATCCAAGTCCAAGTCCCTTGAGTACCGGCACTAACGTGTGTATTTTTTTAACCTATCGGAACTAGGGACAAGACACGCAAATGACGTCAGGATACTATCTCTCTAAATTAGCCTTACTTCGTTAGTTCTTAAATAAAATATATATACTAATTTAATATAATAAACAAAATTAAAATCTTACTCAACAGTATCACCATGTGATGGTCTTTAGTTTAGTCCTTTCACTTTAGTAAAGGAAACGAACTCTTTCATACAAGGAAATTTCTAGTTCTATTCTAAACTCTACACAAAAAAGAACAGTAGAAACACACAAATAAACGAAAAACATTGGAAAATACCCAGATAAAAAAAAAAACCTATCATGCTGCTACAGGTACAGGTAGGTATAATTTTTTAATATTTATTTCCACCAAATTTATAGATGAAATATAGAGATCCAATTTTTTTCTTCATGGCCTAAAATTTAAACCGTATTACCAGCAAGAAGCCAGTGTAGGAGCTGCTCATTCCTGCCCAAGAAAATCAGAGACTGGAACAATCTTTCAAAAGGAACTGTTGAGGCGACAACACTAGACACATTTGTGTCTATTGCCTCAAGCCTTCAAACCCCTAGTGCATGATTCCCTCACAAAGTGGCACTGGAAATCAGTGAAATTTCCTCATCAACACCAGGCACAGAAACATTGCAAAATGATCGTGGGCCCTTAAAAAATAAAAGAAGAAAAAAAGTCAAAAGAACTTTTTTTGGAGGTCTGGTGCCAAAAAGAAAAAAAAAAAAACAACCCAAAAAAAACAAAAAAAAAAAAACAAAAACAACCCAACAACATCTCAAGTGCTCCAGCAGACCCTCTGACATTGCGACACTGTAATTCATTGTAGAACATAAAAAGTGAATTTGTGTGTGGGTATACATATGCATATATACACACATTTTAAAGGATACAATCCAAAAATAGAAAAATGATACAGTTACATTTAATTACTTGCTAATCGGAAATCCCCATAGTCTATTTTAGCATTTCATGGAAGTTAAAGTTCTCTCCGCCGCCCTTTCAATGTGGAGTCAGAGAACCATCAATGATGACGCGAGGAAGGTCAAGACTTATCAAGATTTCCGACTTGATGTTCAAAACATTTCAATTTGCCAATCTGTCCTGGCTTCTTGTTGACCTCAAGAATTTATTTTCTAAATACATTTTAAATGACGGAACGATTTTTCGCCACTGACGTTTCTTACAAGCAACGTTAATAAAATTATCATGGCAATACAAACATATTGAAAGGCATTTTGCAGATTATAGTGGTGCAATATGTTAAGCATCTTTTGAGGAGCAACTGCTTTATATTTTTAACTGTTTCAGTTGATGGAAGTTAGAAAAAAAAATGTTTAAAAAATTTATATAAGCTGAATAAAAATCCAAAAATAATTTTATTGATTTAGATCATGTAGTGTTTTATCACATTGAAAAAAAAAAAAGCGAACAGAGTCAATCAATTTCAAAATAAGCTTGGATTCTTTGGCCCAAATCAGTGACAGCGGCATCAAACTTTTCATTAAAAAAACCAAAACAACAACATGTGCTTCTCTGCTGCCATCCACGTTACATTTTCGATGGTTTTATTGTTTTTGTGCAAAGCTTTAGATTCGCTGCATCAATTTAATGTCACACTATAAATATGTAGCGTTCATTTTCTTTATCCACACCTCCATTGATCTGGAAAAGGTTGCTAACGTTCAAATACGATCTATTTGGTCTAAAGAATGCTAACAGATGACGCAATTTATAGATATTCTTTTTTTTAAAGTTTCTAATATACTCCCCATGTGTAAGCCGGCAGCTTTCCTAGCCCGGAGGAGAGAGTTTTGCTATTTTCCCTAGTCTTTTAGGAGGCGTAATATACTTACCTTATTGTTCTCTTTATGTGTTTGGGTGTGTAAATTATCATTTGTGATATTTGAGGATTACCCCTTGTCCCTTGCTGTGCTGTAAATTGCCATAGTTTTTATTTCTACTTTTTTTTTGGTTTTGTATTCTGTATTTGCGTTTGATTGTATAAGTAAATTGAATATTATTAATTGTGACAGTATGAGTGAATGGCGATGATTGTTGAAGTGTGTACTGATTGAACGATGTGATGTCACCTGATTGTCCTGTGGTGTTGCCATGTTGTATGACTGGACGTGGTGAGATGTGTTTTCATGTATGTTTCAACTTAAATGTGTGAATATTGGTTGGGGAACTGGAGTGAGTGGTCACGCGATGTGGGCTATCAAAAGAATGTGGGATGGCGAATAAAAGTTTGTTGTTAAACAGACGTGAGTTTGTATCTTGTTATAATATTACAACTATAATTAGCTGTGGGATCGCTTTTCTTTGCACGCTGATTTTTTCTGTTCGTTGTTACGTACTGTTCATTTAACGAGCCAAATCTTAAAACAGATTAAATTAATGTATTAATATATATATATATATATGTATATAACGGTACGTAACACTGACCATAAGGTGATTCGAACATAACTTACTGGAATGTTTATTATTTTTCAGGTGAACATAAGGTGACTCGAGCGTATCGTCTTAATGGAACATGTATTCAGGATCGGCCTTAGCAATTTCGGTGCAATTCTCAATTTTGCACAACACCTCCTACAAAACTTCAGGTTTACATTAATTGTTAATAATTTTAAATATTGCCGCTGGAGAAGACATGAAATGAGAGTCCCAAAAATAACAGCCTTACAATGCGAACTAATAAATATAATAAGGAATAACATTTCAAAATTAGGCATATTTCTATTTTATTAGGAATATTCAAAACTAATCTGTTTGAAATTAAAATGTCTATATTGCAACGACGTAATTTAACTCTTAACAAGAAAATTTCCGACTTTCAACTTGTTTTTTCTAGAATAAATAAACAATTTTTAAAAATGTAATTGGGGTCATAAGTTATATAATATTCCTCAAGCAAATGTTTCAGGGTTTTGTGATAGCAATATTGATATCGCCACGATCTCGTTGACTGACAACATCATATTTTAATAGACGGCATAGCCAAAGATGTGGCACTTTCTTGGAGCATTGTTGTTCTGAAATGTCTTTTAATCAAATTTAGTTCAGTCAGTTGCAACGCTTTCTGGAATTAGTTGCAAAACTCCAAGGCAAATTACTGGGTCCTATTTTAGGAAAATCTTCCAGACATTGGTTTGAGGGTAAACATGAACGAATTTCATAAACGAATCTTGCACGGCAATACAAAATACCTGAGATATTTCCATATGTTAGAAAATTATGCAAATATTTGTATTTGTTAAAACAATTCCTACCAATAATCCTTTTAAAATTCTTACTTTCCTTTTTTCCTTTGCCCAAAACGCCTTGTTTAAGAATTAATAGCATTTAACACTTCAACACGATTGGGAGCTTCAGGATCTTCAACAGAGTAGACTCGTAATCAAACTGATCTCCAACAGAATAGACTCATAATCAAACTGATCTCCAACAGAATAGACTCATAATCAAACTGATCTCCAACAGAATAGACTCATAATCAAACTGATCTTCAATAGAGTAAACTCATAATCAACACGATAACAGACTTCGATCTTCAATAGAGTAAACTCATAAGATGTTCAATAGTTTAGACTCATACGATGTACTTCTTCTTCTATATATTAAGGGCCCACGATCAATTTATTGATCATTTTGGCTCCTATGCGTGTAGAGGTTATTTGCAATGTTTCTGTGTCTGGTGTTAATGAGGATATTTCACTGGTTGCAATGGCTACTTTGTGGAGGGTACCATGAACTGGTGGTTGGAAGGACTGACGCAATAGACGCAAATGTGTCAAGTGTTGTCGCATCAACTGTTCCTTTTGAAAGCTTGTTCCATTCCCTGATTGTCTTTGGCAGGATTAAGCAGTTCCTATACTGGCTTCTCGCTGGTATGAGCCGGAATTGCCTGTCATGGCCTCGTCGCTGTCTATGGGGGAGAGGGACGAGTTTCTGTTTAATACTGGAGCAGTGGACCAGCCCATTATTGATCTTCTACATCATGGAGAGCCTGGATTGTCGTCGTCATTCCTCCAATGGTGACCAGCCCAGTTTTTCCAGCATGCTGCCAACACTAGAGGTATTCCTGTAGCGGTTCAGGGCAAAGTGTGCTGCCCGTCGCTGGCTCGCCTCCAACCTGTCGATGGTCTTCTGGACGGACAAAGGCTTTATATGCTCTTTCTTTCACACTGGAGTTGCCGATATTTAGATTACGCCTTAAGGACCCAAGGATCTTGTTTGCCTGGTTGCACTTATTTTAAATATGCTCGGCCCAGCGGACCTCTCTTTGATTGGTAACACCCATGTACTTTACGGAGAAAACTGGCTCAAGTATATGGCCATTTAGTTCATATTGGTAGTGTAGAGGAGTACAATTTCTAGAGACTGACAGCTACATTTAGACTAGCTGTAATACCTCCAGCCACGTTGGTTGTGACAGGACTAGGCCTATCCACTCTCCAGGACTAGGCCTATCCACTCTCCAGGAATAGGCCAATCCACTCTCCAGGACTTGGCCTATCACCGAAGATTCGATCATCGACTTAAAAAGACTTATTTTCCGTAAATTTGGTATATACATATTTTGGGGGGAGATCCAAATGACGCCCTTAGAGTTTGGAACCCCAGGCATTTGCCTGCTTGGCATATACCAAAAGCTGGGACTGCGTGTTTTATTTTTCAGCCTGACCATATTGTAACTCGAGCATAACTTACTGGAACTGCATTTGAAAATCGATTTCAATTTCATCAACTATCCGTCAATTGATTTGTGGCCCCACGGGTGAAACGCTCAAGCAGATTAAAAGATGCCCCCTTACTCAGATCGATGTTAGCACATGATGGTAATGTAGGGCGGTGGCACAGCCTGGACAGATGTCAACATTAATTAGGTAAAAGCATCTAGGAGTCAGCCATCATTGCATTGACTGATGTATGTCATGCCAGGCCACACAAGGAAACGTGTCATATGCTAAAATATATTTGTTTTTTGTTCTAATGTCTATGACGTAAACGGGACATCGGACAATCGAGCAAGGGAAATCGTAATGAACTGGTTTTGTGAGCGTGGTCAGGCTGTGGATGGAAAGCGATGAGTTGATGGTGAGTTGTTGACTGGATGAGTTGAGGGTGAGTTGTTGACTGGATGAGTTGAGGGTGAGTTGCAGTTTGAATGAGTTGAGGGTGAGTTGTTGACTGGATGA